CCATGAAGAGTTGCCTATTGGAGAGTTCGTGCAGTCTATACATCCTATTGGCCACTTCCACTTCCTCCACAGTGAAGAAGCCGCTGGCAGTGCGTCCGCCCTCTATGTAAATGATGCGTTCGGGGAACAGCTCCATAAAAGAGTCGCTCTCTTCCGACTGCTCCTCTCTGATTGTACGACAGTTGGCGCCCAAATAATTACGCAAATTCACCGCATGAATGGCCGAACACGCCTTCTTGTCGAGCGCCGCCTGAGAGCCGATCCAATAGAATATCTTCCAATCGAGGCTCTGGCTGTCGGTGACAGTGGTCTTCAGCACTATATAACAGTCTCCCTCATAGAACTTCCCGTGAAGGACCTCTTCTATACGGTTTGGCACAAAGTTCTCGATCTCCCAAATGGTAAGACCGGGCAGTTGTCCGATGTCTTCGTCGAAGAAGTCGCTGTAATCGAGTGGCGGCTTCTCCAGCGCTTCGTCCCATCGCTTTGGCTTCAAGTCCTGTTCGTTAAGCATTGCATCGCATTTCAGGCGATCCTTCTCTTTGGCTAAATCTGTCATTCCTTTCAACACTTTAGACGAATCCGAATTTGTTGTCTTCTCGCGCGCTCTTCGCACTAATCGTAGTTTCCTCGCAATCGGGTCTTTGTTTGGCGCTAAATATCGGAACAATTTTATTAATCAATTGTCTATATTATTCATATATGGTATGGAATCGTTAGATTAAATGCAATCAGTGAATGAAACATCACTTACTGACAGTAGCGCCTAACCCACTAGTAGTGGGAGCGCCGGCGAGTCTTAACTGATTGTTAAGCGAAAAGTCAATGTTATAAAACTCCAAACGTTTGGCATATTCTGATGGCTTTGGGGGCATAATTAGGTCCGGATTGTTGTTCAGGTCGAGCACCGCTAAGTCGGTCAACAGGTGTATGGCGTCCGGCAACGTAATCAACCGATTGTTGGCCAGAATTAACTTTTTAAGTTTCCCGCAACGGACCACTCCTTCGGGTATGAGTTCTAAGTTATTGTTTGCGGCCATAAACACCTCTAAGTTGTATAGTTTGCCGATTCCTCCGGGAATGCCCTCAAAGTCCAGATGATTATCGTTGACGTAAAGGCGCCTTAAATTCGTTAATTTGCACAAAGCATTGGGCAATGAATTGAGTTTATTTCGCGATACGTTCAGCACTTCCAGTTGCGGCCACTCTTCGTCTATAGTTTGCGACAATTGTGTCAAACAGTTATCACTTATGTTGAGTCTCGTCAGACTCTTCAGCGTAAATATGGAGTCCGGAATTCGCGGCAAACTATTGGACGATAAGTCGAGTTCTGTTAACTGAACCAAACCGTCCAAAGAGTGGGGCATATTCTGGAGGTTGCGCTCAGTATTGCGAAGGTTTAATGACTTGAGTGATGTTAACGATGGTAAGTGTCT